TGATTTAGCATCCATGGCTTCTTCCATTTTGGGTTCAAGATGCATTTGGAGACGTGCTTGAGATTTAACCTCACCTGTGTGTGCAGGAGTAATTCTAACTGTCCATGGATGGACTTCCTCCATTCTGCGATTCACATACTGTACTCTTTTAAATGGGGAGCTGTGTTGGTCTTCCTTTCTGTTTTCAGTGATCTGATGATTTACTGTTGTACCAGAAGTGATTCCATTGCATTTCAATGCCATGACCGTCCTCCTGCACTTTATTTATTTATTTCATTGTTTGGCTTGGTTCTTTATCTTGGATTGCTTTTCTTTCTCCTAGGTATGTTCACAGTGATCAAGTTCCAGTTTTAAGGGATCTTGTAGCTGCTAATTACACTGTCATTTGCTTTTTATATTTTTGCAGCATTTTTTAAACAAGCAAAACAGATTCTCTTTGGACTATCAAGATTTGAGAGCCTATGGACTACTGTTTTCCATGACAGTTCATGCCACTAAAAAACTCCACCCAACTTTGTCACCTCTTCTTTTGATCTCCCTGTTTCTTTGTACAGTTTGATAGTTTATTTGAAATGATGCACTAAGAACCGTGTAAAAAGAATAACAATAAAGCTGAATCTGTTGGTAAAGAGAACTGGTCTCAGATACGGTTCCACCAAGGCCTGTTGGCTGGAGTGTTCACAGATTTTACAGCAAGAGATGGTTGTGCTCAAACTGGTGCCCAGAACTCCTCCTGAGTTGCCTGTTGACAATCCCAGAAATCTCTCGTTGCTCTCCTGTGAGTGGGGTGCCAGCGTGCCCGTCCTCCTGGGTGCTGCTGGTCTGATGTGCCGTGGACCTGATGTACAGGTGCAGACAAACTGGAATGTATTCAGGTAGCTCATTCGCCATCCAGCACATGCTAGTCCTACCTTTCCACCTTCAGCCTTGAGGTGTGTGAGCGGATAAGGATACCAGTGTCTGCACTGTTGGTTGGAGGTGTCCTGGGAACGTGCATTAGGTGTTGTGGCTACTTCTGTAGCACATGTGGTGCTTCCCTGTGGCAGGTGCTGTACAGACAGCCCTTGCACGGAGAACCTTGCAGATGCTACTGCTCACAGGAAACATCAGGTGTCTGAAAAGGTACTGGCTCACACCGTGGAAGGCATGGGGAAAGTCAGGCCTGACTCTCTGAACTCTCAGGTATCTCATATATCAGCCTGTCTCTTGTTTCCATCCCTTCCAGTAGGCAGCAACATCTCCAATGTGTTTGTAGAAGCAACCAAGAGCATCTCAGTCCCGGATGTCCAGGGTGCTACTCTGCCGCCCTCCACCAAGAGGGAAGTGCAAGGAAAGCAAGTGTCTTGCAAAGTCTTCTCTGAGCACCAGGAAGCTCCTTAGAGCGGAGGACTCTCTGCATAATGGATGCAGAAAGGGGCAGCAGTCTGTGCTGAACTCTTTGGTAAGGCAGCTGAGAAAGTTAAACTTAACACCAACTGTCGAGGGTCACTCTCACACCAAGTGCCAGGGCCCTCCAAGATCCCTCGCGTTCTCCCACGATCACGTCGGGGTCACCAGATGTCGAGGGGCACTCAAATGTTGAGGCACGCTCCACAAATCAGAGTGAGCAGCACTTTAATATGAAGGTGGTTTAACTTGTGGCGAGTGCCGAAGCCCTCTCCACAAGCCGGAGTGAACAACACCTCTATGGGAAGTGAAGTCAACTCCACCCTGCTGTTGTCTGTAGCAGGGCTTTATACCGGTGCAGGTCGGCATGCGCTGAGGAGCAGCACTCATTGGCTAAAAGCTCCCAGCTGATTGGTTCTCCTCCAGGTGTTCGGTTGCTAGGCGTCGGTCCAGTTCCCCACAAACTCCACTTTCTTATATATTCTTACTAAGGCCCCAACAACCAACCAGCAGAGTTGTTCCTGATGCACAAGGGCTGATCAGGAAGGTTATGCATGCAGAGGCCTGGTGGGTCACCTTGCTTAAAAGACGACATTAAGAACACCTCAAAATGTCTTGTTTGACCTCGAGTCAGAAGTGAGAATGGAGACTGTGTAACATGTCCCGTTGCTCCCATCAGCACCTATTAGCAACATATAGAACATAAGTACTGCAGTGCAGGCAGTATCCATTTGACAGACTGCAGGCATAAAAAAGAGGGGGGCTTTGCATTCCCAAAGCCTGGATCCGCTGCTGCTTTTCTGCTTGCATCATTCAGCCCACGTCTGCAAAGCAGTTCCCTCCCCTCCAAAAGGGCAACCAAGGCTCTCTGTACACACAGAGCAGAGTGAGCAGGAGGCTTCAGTGGCTTCCCCCAACCTGTGAAAACTGCTGTCAAATATTTATGCCCAAACCCTAGCAATACACATGGCTGGAGATGAGGGCTCTAAAAATAAACCAGTGATGGGAAGAGGAGACCCAGGCTTCCTTCAGAGGCAATTGCAAAGGGAATTAAAGTAATATAATTGCCTCCAAATATAGAACACAATTATGGGAAACAGGGGACACGTTAAACAAGAAATCACTATGAGAATTCATGAGGCTGCCATGGCTCAGAGTTAGAAATGTCTCAGAAGCTGCAGCACATTGTAGATTCCTGTGAATCTTGGGGCAATAAAACATCTTTCTGCCCAGGGGAGCACAGAAGCAGCAAACCCTCAACTCCCTCATGAAGGAAGCCAAACAGCAAACAGCAACAGCAGCGTTCGGAACCGAGCAGGCACCCTGGGCAGCCCTGGGATTGTGCTTTGTACCTCCAGGCTGGAGCACAGCTGCAGAAGGCCTGAGGGCTGCAGCGTGCCGCTAACATGGATGTGGCTGTGGTGCCAACCCTAGGTGGGATATCTCTGAGAACAGAGCATTGGAGAAGGGGCTACCCCACTTCTCCCTTCTAAATGATGAATCTTCAAAGGAAATCTTCACACTGGGTACCTCCCATGTATGTTTTTTCCCAGCAAATTGCATACACTGCTCATTCCTCTCCATCTTGCCATACCCCAAGAGGAACTGAGTTGGGAGAATCACCTCCATCCTCGGAAATGTAGTTGGACAACTCATCCTGGATGTCATCTCTAGCCATGCGGAGGGCAAGAAAGTGATCAGGAGTAGTCAGCATGAATTCACCAAGGGAAAATAATGCTAAACGAATCTGAGAGCCTTCTATGAGAGAATGACTTGTTGAGTAGATGAGGGGAGACCAGAGGGTGTTATCTACCTTGACATCCGCAAGGCTTTTGATGCTCTCTCCCATAGCATCTGCATAGGCAAGCTCAGGAACTGTGCATTAGATGGGTGAACAGTGAGACGGATTGACAACTGGCTAAACAGCAAACCTCAGAGGGTTGTGATAAATCTAGGCCTGTGGCTAGTGATGTCTCCCAGTGGTCAGTATTGGGTCCAATCTTGTTCAACTTATTTATTAATGATCTGGATGAAGGGACAGAGGGCACCCTCAGCAGGGTTGCTGATGATACACAACTGGGAGGAGTGGCTGATAGCCCAGAGGTGTTGGGCTTCCAGTGGACAGGCTGCAGACATCAGCAGAAAGCAACCTCAGGAAGCTCAACAAAGGCAAGTGCAGGTCCTGCACCTGGCGAGGAATCACCCCATGTACTAATACAGGCTGGGGTCGGTTCTGCAGAGAAGGACCTGGGCATCCTGGTGGACAAGTTGACCATGAGCCAGCAATGTGCCGTTGTGGCCAAGGAGGCCAATGGTCTCCAGCGGGTACATTGGGAAGAGTGTTGCCAGCAGGTTGAGGGATGTGATTCTTCCTCTCTACTCAGCTCTGGTGAGGCCACACCTGGAGTGCTGTGTCCAGTTCTGGGCTTCCCACCACAACAGGGACTACTGGAGAGAGCCCAGTGTAGAACTGCGAAGACGATGAGGGGACCCGAGCATCTATTCTATGAAGGGAGGCTGAGAGAGCTGGGCCTGTTTAGCCCAGAGAAGATTGAGATGGGATCTTATCAGTGCATGCAAATATCTGAAGGGAGACCCCCACAGTATGTGTGATGAAGGTTCAGGGTGACAGAAAGGCTAGCTTTGAGGTGGCAGCATTCTGGATGTATCAAGGCCGGCAGCTCAGCTATCAGTATGGCCATCAACTCGCTGTGGCTTTCAGTCTCACTGTGTTCCAAGACTGGAGGGACCAACTTCAGCTTAGAGGCACAGAGAGAATGATGTGTCACAGAGATGGCACAGCCCTGATGAACTCTTTCCTGTGTTCTTGCTTTGCAGCCTGGTGACTGTTGCTTGGTGCCACAGGACATGCAGAATTGAACCCTATGTCCCTTCACTGCTGCGAACATTGCTGAAATCAGTGCCAGCATGTGGCCATGCATCTCCAGCTTTTCTGGGCACAACAGAAAGCTTCTGTAAGCGGGGCTCTCCCTTTTCTGCAAGTGGAGCATCCATGGCTTTCCCATGGGAGACATGGGGTGACATCCACTCACCTCACCTCATCACTCAGTGCACCTCAACTCTCAGGCCCTGCAGTGAAGTGACCATGCCAAGCAAAATACATGCCACTCTGGGAAGTTTTCCTCCCTTCAGCAAGATAGTAAATGCCTGTAGGACTGCATCTACAGTATATGCCACAGCTCCCCCTTTGCGCCCAACTTGCCTATGAGATTAATGCTGGCCACAGTTTGTTATTCTTATTTTATTTATAATATAAAAAATGTTCAAGTGTTAAACAGTCAAGAGTTCTGACATTCAGACAATCCAGAGCAAACTTTGACAATCATCTTATGACAAATTAGCAGAGTTTTCTATCTGACCCCATCATGGGTGAGGAAGAGGGGTTTTAGTTACTTTATTGCTAAAAGTTAAATGAAATACACTGTCAATTGTTGTATTATCTTCTCAGTCACAGCTTCACCATGCATCCAATCTACAGTATCTGAAATGCAAAGGACATGCAGAAGTAAAAATATAAAAAGAAAAAAGTCAGGCTACAATGTAAACAGGTTTGCTGCAGAAAACTGAGGAGAGAGGGGCGCTTCCACGGGGGATGCTCTGCTACCTGGACACGCAGGACTGTCTCTGCACCACGGACCCAGTGGCTAGAGATGTCTGAGCTCAGAAACACGACGTCCATCACCGATGGAAAGTTTTTACGGGACACAGGGACATTACAATAACAACTGTCTTTACAATATACAGCACAGTGATACAGAAGAATCCACTCACTGGGTTCCCTCATGTAGGCTCTGCTGCCCTTCCTGCCCAACGCAGTGACTTCTAGGGGCCAAAAGTTCTCATGCCAAAAGCCAAGGAGCAGCAGTGCTTGGGGCGGCTGGGCAACTGCATCCCCAGCTGCCTGAGCCCCACAGAGCCCGCTGTCCTGGTGCCCTCCCAAGACACGTGGTCCTGTGGTGCACACCAACACAGCACCAGGGCACCGGGGACACGAGAGCCCCACAGTCCCCCCAGCACCACGGCCATGAGGACAGCACAGCCCGTGTGGCACCACGGCCCGTGTGGCGATGCAGCCCACATGATACCGCAGACGTCTGAGAACACCTTGCCGGGAGGCCACCGCGTGGCGCCGTCTCCTCCATCTAGCAATGTTGGCTTCAATGAACTGGATTCAGCCATACGTAACCAGATAGTATTTCACAACATTCATTTAAATGTTTTATTTATTTGACTACAAACCCGTGCCAAACTGAACCACCCCAACTTCAGTCCCGGGAGTGAAATGGCTGAAGGTTGAGAGCTATATTGTAAGGGCTGCTGCTACTGTATGTTTTTATTTTCTGCTCCTACCTGTGTGGCAAAAGAAACAATATTTCTGCATTCCAGTATGACGCGGTTGTGTTTCTTTTTCTCCTGATATAAGCATATATGCAAGTATATTACAGGAAAAGACAGACCCCCATCAGAGATGATAATGGAAACGCTCCCACTCATGTCCTCAGTGTGTGCTTAAATGATACCATAAAGAATAAGATCATTAAGAGCAAGGTACGGGGCAAAGTGGAGAGGCTGTTTTCTTTGAATGGAAAAGCGCCTTTATGACAGGTCATCTCCTCCAAAAAATCTATGATCTTAAAAATGCTACTGAAACAGAATCCTCAGCATGAATCCCAGCACTAGCATACAGCAAAAGGCACCACGATAGTTTTATTTTCTATTTTTAAGTAGTCAAAAATTGGCCCACTTTTTTAATTTTATTGTTCGTTTTCGTTCCTTTTTTTTTTGTTGTTGTTTTTACTTTTTTTTTCTCGGAAGCTGTAAATCAAGACATTACATATAAATAGAGATTCCCTATAAAAAAGTCTTTGCCAGTAGCTATTATAAGACAACTTTGCTAAAATGAAAATAAAACATTTTATTTGTTATATTTTTTCCTCTTTTATATAAAATAAAAATATTTATTTATTTGTTTTGTTTTGACTCCCTCCTCCGCCTTTTCCATACAGGTGTGTTTGTGGGTGTGTGAGTTTGTGAGACTTCTAGAGAGGATCCGGGTCTTGTTTGGGTGTCGTGTGTGTCAAGCTGCTCTGCCCACTTTCCCCGTGAGTGCTGTGTCTGCTGTAGGAATAGTAAGTCCGGCTGTCGCCTGGCCGATAGAGCGGGGGTGAATCTGTGTTCATTGCGTCATTGTTCTGAATGCTTAGGAAGGGGGTGCTCTCGGCCACAAGCTCCTCGTCAGACTCGCTGTAAGAGGCGCTGCTCAAGGAGAACGAGTCCCGGACCGCTCTGGCTCTGTGAGAGACGTGCCCGTTCAGTTTGGATTTTTTCCACCGCCTGTTGCTGCTGGCTGTTTTCTTTGGCTGCTCTAGCGCTGTGACGTACTCCTGCGTTGTCTCGTACTCGTCATCCTCCGTGATGCGGAAGGGGCTGGAAGGCAGGCTCCCCATGCTGTCATTTAGGTAGGTCTTCCTTTGGTAGTAGCTGTCGTATCTCTGCATGTCCTGGAAGGGAACCTGGTACCGCCGCAGGAGGGGCTGTTGTTCCTCCACGCGGAAGCTGATGGGGGCTGCGGGCGGCAGGGACACGGCATGTGCGGAGTTGGGGGAGGTGATCTCAAAAGTGGGCACCTGTGAAGCCACCGAGTACTGGAAGTCAACGGGCGAAAGGCGTGCTGGTGTGGTCAAGGCCGACACATACCTGAAAGAAGCAACACCTCCGTTTGGACCTCAGACAGCCAAAACTCCCTCCACCTACAGCTCCGCTCTGCTGGATATGCAGTATCAGGGCGCATGGGGCCTCCACTACACCTTTGCTCTCAGAGCTCAGCATCATCCAGGGGACCCGCGAGGGACCTCTCATCTCAGCACCCAAGGGAGTTCACGACACCGGATGTTTAGGGAGCTGTGCACAGTTCTCCCTAGGGATGGCCCTCCCACAGGATCCTCCCATTCCCACTACTTCCCAGCTCCTTTGTGCTATAAGAAGCAGTGTGAACAGGGCTTTCTTATCTGAGCTCACTCTGGCACCCAGCACATCACAGCTTCCCAAAGCGATCACCGCCCGCCATCCACAGAAACAACAGCAAGGCAGTTCTCAAGGAACCTTCACCAGCTGAACTGGAGTGCACTTCCCTTGCTAGAGGACAAGGCTCAGGGCCCAGTCCTGCAGGACAATCAGCCCTTTCCCTCTCACCCTTTGGGGGGCAGGTGCACCACCTTGCTGAATCAGACCCGTATTCATGAGTGCGGGCAGATTCTTCATTTAGCCACAGTTTGATCCACTGTCTCCAGTATGACTTGAAATCACCTACTTCAAGAATGTTCTTGAAATCCTTGCAGGAGTCCCACAGATGTCCAGGGCCTTGTATTCTCCACCTTGCCTCCTATTTCCTACATGAGCTAGGGCAATTCTCAAACTGCATCCGTACAAATCCTGCAGCATCTCCCAGCTGCCCAAGTCAAAACTTCCTTGCCTTTTGCCTGCCTTCCAGGGGTTCTCTGGAAGCCCTCTAGAGCTGCCAGGCTTACCTGTGAAGAAGAGTCCCCAGATGTCCCCCTCTGCTCAGGCTGCAGCTGCGTATTGCTTCCTCTGACTTAGCAAAATTATTTTGTCTAAAAAGGCATCTACCAGCTTTCTTTTACTTTAGCAACTGCGGAAGTGTGGCATCTCAGACCTGGTGTAGCCCCTCTCCAAACAGCCTTTCCTTTGGTGCCACCTCTGACTAAGGAGTAGCTTTCAATTCTACTCAATACTGCTAATTTTCCTTTTTCCTGTTCATTTGAGGTGGGCCAGGTTCCCTGGCTGTTCAGATGTCCATGTCTCCCCATCTTCACTCAGTATCTCATGTTGTATGAGATGTCTGTGTGAGCAGGATCAGCAAGTCTGAATGGCCTAGGAACAAAAAGGAGCAGGATATGTCATCCTTCCCCTCTGTCCCAGCTGCAAGTCATACTGCCCTGAGGGGTTTCCACCTGAAAGCTGCCACATGGCCACGCATAGTGTGTGAAAGGCAGAAGCAAGTGTGGCGAGGGGCCTGCACCATCAAGAAGGAAGTAGACCTGAAAAACAGGCTGCCAGCTGCTGTCTCTCACTAGCTGAGGGAGTCACATCTCCACAGTGGTTTCCACATAGATCAGAGTGGACTCTTGGGGCAGTGGTTTCTTGTGGGCAGTAGCAGAGCTGGAGTTCTGCCTGCGCTATCATGGGATGGCTGCTCTAGCGCCTGGCCTTCCTGGAGGCCAATACTTTTGTATTCAGAATAGACAGGCATTGTACAAATCTGCTGCACCTGGGCAGCACGAAGCAGTCAAACCTGACCTCTCGCTGTGTGGTGAGTCCCGCAGAGAATCCACGGAATCCCGATACTGCGTCATGGGCCTCCTCGAGTCCTCAATGCAGTACGCGGCCCCACGGCGGGCCCGAGCTTCCACACATGCAGGGCTGTTGCATTTACTGGTTCCCACTGAGGACAGCATTATCCCCGACTGGGAATCTGAAGTCAGGCTCTCTGTCCGCTCCAAGCTCCATGTGTGGCTTTCGTGTCTGTGGATCAAACCGTAGGTGGACAAACAATGAGTGAGGAATCCCTGCCAAGGTCTGCTACCTGTAGGCCACATGTAGGCACAGGTTGTACTCTGCTCTGCTTTCATGTTCCTTTTCTCTGTCTCACTGGACTATATCTGACTAGGAAAGCCTGATTTCCCAAATTGACCTGTCTTTGGAGTTTCTTGGAGGTATAATTAGAGAATACAGGAAAGCAAACAGGCGCAGATCATGTCTTTAACATCACCTCCTGATAGTCAGAGACAGAACGGAAGTCTGGAGGGAGCTCTGAGGAATTCTGCTTTGTGCTTGCAAAGCTCTTTAGGTGTGCAGTCTGCAAAGAATTCCAGGCGCGCCACCTGCATGCATTGCCAAGAGACAGCCTCCTTCAGAAACACTGCCCCAAAGCAGCCAGATGATAGAAGGACTCCTAACTCCTGCCTAACAAATGTGGAAAGCCACATCAAAGTTAGACCTATCTACCCACTTTTCATAGGCTTGTAAAATATTTTTAGGAGAAAACCACTTTCAGATAATTAGGCAAAGACTACAATATGTTGGATAGTCCTTACTTAGCCCTTGGAAATTCCCCTGTCCCAGGCGTGGCCTGAACAAGATATGTCACAAGCACACACCAGGGAAGCATGGGCTTCATGCACACAACACCAGTGGTTCACACACCACTGCCACCAAGCTGACCATTCTCCATAGCCCATATAGGTGATCCCTGAAAGCAACAGTTCTGCACTCTCAGTTTGCACTAAAAGCAGTTGTGCCAGTGGAGGATTTTGGGTGAGGGCTTGCAGGCCTTATTAAAGTTTCCTAAGAACTTGTTAATTATTGATGGCTCTAGGCACATGCTTGACTGCAACCACCACCTTCATTTATAACTTCAAACAGCATCCTCATTAGAGATGCTGATGAAGTAAAATGGAACCTGATTATGCCAGTAGTTTGCCTCTGGCATGACTTCAAGAAACACCTGCTTAGTGCACTTGGCTCAGAAAAATTAGGTGGCAGGTAGCCAGGACCAGAGGCTATGCAAGGTAGGAGCCTCCTCACAGATGTTATGCGGTAACACTGCCCTCCAGACACAACTTTGCATCTTTAGGAGGTGCCCAAAGATGGTCCTGGGGATCCGGGACTTTGAAGTGAGTGTGGAAGGCCAGAAAGGTGCAGCCCAGCAGGCGTGAGAGCCTCTGTGCCCCTGGCTTAAGCTTGCACAAACCTAGCCAGGGCTGGGCTGCAATACACAAGTTCAAAAGCAAACAAACAAACAAAAATGGAAAAAATGCTGCCTAACTCACAGTGGCTGGACTGACTAAGGACAACCATTTCCACCCAAGCAAGCCATTCTCAGCTCCCTCCCTACTTAGTGGGGTTTAGCTCCCAGAGTCTTACCTGAAAAACCTATGTTTGATATCTGAAATTGGTCAAATACCTTCTACCCTGACAGTACTTGCTTCTTGGGGCACTAGCTCCATGCCACTGTCCCCCAGTGGTTTGGAAGCCTAACAAAATGTTTCAACACTGAAGAAAGATGCCAGGAGGCACTTTTGAGTTTTACCCGAAAGGCCTCATTGTATCTTGAATGAAAGCAGGCGAATAGCTCAAATCGATGAGGTAAATGAGACAGGACATCCTTTGATTTATAAAGTGAATGTATACAATCTACACATCATTAGCAGGATGTAAGTATGGCTCATCTATATCTCACAGTTAAATTTCAAAGGCAAATTGTCTCCTAAGGAAATATCTTCACTTACTGAAAGAAGCATGACAGTCACTTGGAGGCCCATTAAAAAGAAGAATCAGAACAACCAAACTCAGAACAGTACAGGACTTTTGCTGCAGGTCAAGCATCACATCTTTCCACACCTAACATGTCTGTTGGGCAAGCAAACATCTCCACAATAAACAGGGCAGGTGTGACAGTGTACTGACAAACACGAAGCAAAACCAGAGAGGCGAACGGACAACTTTATACTGGCTTTGGGTCTTCTAATGTCCTAAATAAGAAGTGAGGGGAAAATGGTACACATCACCTCTGGCTGGAAGTTGGAGTGGCTGTGGAGCAGTGATGGGATGGGGAGGAGGAATGACTTCCTGAAAAAGTTGTCTCTGTTTCCCTTCGGATCACATGTTCAGTGGCAGGAACGTTCTTAGAAATGTACTGTAAAATACAGAGAATTGCAGAAGTCAGCCAGTAGGTTGCCACAGCCAAATTCTGCAGCCCAGATTATTTCTCATATATATATGAGAACTGAGTCAAATCCTATGAAATCATATCAATTCATATTCTGGTCAAATCACATGAAAACTGCAGCTCCACACTCTGAGAGAGGGAAGAGGGTTAGAAAACACAAGGCAGTGGCCCTGCTCTTCCTCTGTGCTTTGAACACTGGAAGGGGCTATATCATGAACACTATGGAAGGGAGGCTGAGAGACAATAGACTCCCATGAAGAGCTCAAGAGACTCCCATGGACAGCAGTACCCTGCCCTCACATGTATCTGATGCTATGGACTGGAAATGCAACTCTGCTTGCAGGTTAAACCCTCCAAAGCACTGTCAGAAGGGTGACCACATGAGATTTTTAAGGGACACAAGGCTTACAGGAACATTAGGTACAACCTCAAAACTAATACTGAGCTACTCCATCTAAAAATGAAGCAAATCTCTTTTCAGGGTCAGCCCTACTTTTTAAAGACACTAGTCTTCGTGCAGGAGTTAGTTTTTCAGGGTTTGGAGCTGTAATTCTTACAAATTTCTTTTGCCTCTGCTTTTGTGGCTGTCTCTCCATCTAGGTAGGCTTAATTCAAAGGGTGACCCATCAGAGCTTGTAACCAATCCATTGTACTCAGTTCCATCAGTAATGGCACACCTGTGCATAGCACACTAACTATTGAGGAGAGAAAATTCTAAGATAATGAAAAAAGGAAATTTCCAAGGCAAATGTTCAGAAGTTGGGAAAGGGCCAACCTTCTGGGCCAGAGTGGGAGTTCATTTTGGTGTGAGTCTGGCTCTCATCCCTCCCTTTTTCTGATTCCTTTTAAGACCTTGGTCCATCAAGGCACTTAAGCATGTTCACAGTCCTATAGAGTTTGCAGAGTTCAGTGGGAGTCACACAACTAAAGTTAAGAGTCACTGAGCTGCTTTTATGAATCGGGTGCTAAATCATTGGATGGTTCCTGTTGGTGTGACACTGGCAGCCCATGGAGATAACCTAGTTTGTAAAAGAAGCTGCTGGTAGTAAGACAGATGGGTGAATGCAATGTTGTCCAGATCACCACAACATCCTTCAGCACTTTATAGTCACCACAGCAGCTCCAGCCCCCAGTGCTTCTGCTCATATTTGTCATACTGCAAAGTAAGGCTTGATGAGTTAGCTTAATAAACAGGAAACATCAAGAATTTCTCACAGGAAGGAAAACAGAATCATACTTGATTCATCAAAATAAGTCTGTCTTGAATGCCTAAAGTCATCCTCAGTTCTTCAGACTAAAATTACATTTCTCTTCATATTTTGACTTGAAAATGTACCTGTATCTCATCTTTCCACTTTCTTCTTGTGTTATTTCTGTAGCAAAGCCTGTGTATATGCAACAGAGGTGTACATATACACATGCATCCCATCCTGGTGGAAAAATGAGCACTCAGCAAGCTTCATTGAAACTGAAATAAAAAGTCTTACATCAGCCATTTGAATTTCCTCAGGATCCAAGCGTGGGTGACTTGGCCCATTTGCAAGACTTCGGTTCTGATGGGCAGGACACATGTTCTGTCGTAAATGATTATGCATTTGCTTTCGTTGTTTCCTTTAGAACAGAGGAAAAACAAATCTATTGTGAAAATTTATTTCATGGAGTACTCAGAGAGATTTGGGGAAAGCTGATCATAAAGGAGACAACAATCATGTTTTCATTTGTGTCTTGACCACACGATTGCTGAAAGCTTCGCATAGAAAGAAATAGAGCATTCAACACAAGTCATCTTCTACTGCTTTTTATAAATAAATAAATAAATAAATAGTGAGTGCTTGTCATCACAGGCAGCTTGGTAAGCTGGGTCCAGGGTCCAAAAGGCCCATCACAATGTCCATCACTAAGAAGAGTGGTGAGATGGGAACAGGAAACAGGCTTTGCCACGGCATCAAGGCAACATCCTTGAATTCATTCATTAAGGATAAAATGAAGAAGTCTCCTCATGCCCCAAGGAGGTGATAGACACGCTGAACCCAGACAAGGCACAGGCTAAGTGGGGAAAAGATACTTGTCAGGCAGGGAGCACTAGCCATACAAGGTCCTTGAGCCTCGTGCTCAATTTTAATTGCTCAGCTGAGCCCAGCTGAGCAGAGGAGCTCCTGGGTCACAGCCCAGAGTGCTTCTGTTGTCAGGAGACAGGCTGTTGGCTTTTTAGCTGACTTTTTCCTGTCATATGATATTGCCTAGCTTGGAGAAGAAATGTTGATTCAAAGTATAGACAAGAAAATGTTCCATCCATGTTTAGCCTGGGAGGTAGCTTCAGTGCCCATGTTCACGAGACTTGATGGGAATAACACAGTGCAGCACCTCCTTGAAATATCGTCTTGGATGAACAACATGAAAGTGTGTGGCACTACCACCCAGAGCCTCTAACTTGCCTGTAAACCACCCATACTCACTTGGTTTTACAGTAAGCTACCACACAGACGATGCCCACAACAAGCAAGGCAACACAGATTCCAGTGATGGTTAAAACTCTCTTCTGGTAAAGCTCTTCAGCTTCTGCAAATGGAGAGAGAAAAAACAGTTATAAATGGGCTCCAATGCCAAGGATGCATGTGGCTCCACAGGAACCAGCACCATGTGAGGGTCAGACACAAAACAGGACACTATCCAATCTCTAACAAATTCACTGACCATGTCTAATAGCTTCTCCAAACCTGAGATCAGCTGGCCTAACCTTACTCACTCCTCAAGAGAATTTTTTCTCCTTTTCTCTTTCTGTACCTCTTTCATCCAGCAGCTTTTCCCTTCCAAGCTCAACAGTACATTTTGCCTTCCTTTTCCCCTAGAAAAATTCTGCCACTAATCCCAAAAGGCTTTTATTGTCCTTCCAGTAGATCCCTCCCTTCTCAGCAACTCAGTAATCTAACAGGGAAGTACCCATGTACTCCCACACTCACCAGATACATGCACTGCCCCATGATGTTCTCATCACAGGCTCTAGTCTATTGCTGTCTGCTTTGATGGAGCCAGAATACCTTTTTCTTTGCAGCAGCTGCATGCTCTGGAGCTTACAGGTGTTATAGTAACTGCCAAATAACCGGCTCCGAAACATGTAGGTGCTGAAAGGGACATCCTAAAACAGTCAAAAGCAGAATGAGGATGGAGAAGCGATAGGATATTAGACAAAGAGAAGGGAGTGGGGTAATTAAAATACAGTAACGAATTATGTATTTTCAACAAAACTCCAGGAAGCAATTAATTCCTTGTCAAGTCAAACATTCACTATAGTTAATCCCCTGACAAATGCATCCTCAACATTTGTGCTATCTGAGAGACAGGACCATCCCAATTGCACCAGCTAACTCAGATGCACAGAATTCAAACTGCATGCTACTGCTTCTGCCAAACATCACTGTTTATCATGGACTACTTTTCAAACCAGAAAAATCAGTAAGTTGCATCAAAATCCAGACCGTGCTGGAAGGGAGGTAATTCCTCCAAATTCATTAAAATTCCAAAGAAATGCTACAATGTCACTTGCATCCAATCTGCACAAGAAAAAGTGTGCAAAGGCACTTCGATTCTCCAATTGGGAGACTGAGAGAAGGAATGAGTCCTTAAGGACCATGAGCATTTCAGTTCGGTGGCTATGACCAATATCCTTGCACTCCAAAACTTAGTGTTCATCCTAAACTCATTGGGTTTTGTGCTTTCTTTAGCATTCACTGAAACACTTTTTTCCTGCAGATTAGGCAATAAACTTCATGCCATGGTTGCTGTGCTGGGTATGTTTCACCAGGCCACAATAAATACTTCCAATGGACTATCTGATATTCCCTAGTGCTATCAAACAGGAGTAGGCAAAAACAGAAGAGAAATACATCTGTCCTTATGTACCTACATCACACCCAAGGTCTAGACTTAATGAAAAAAAATAAAAAGAGGGGAACATAATAAAACATTTCAGATAACTGAGTGCCTTGGCCAACCTCGGCTGGCCATTTCAGGAAGGTAAATAAGGTGCTAGGAAAAAGTGTATCTCTTTCTCAGTTCTCAAAAAGGATGTGAAGAAAGGTATGCCAAGCAAGAAGTTAACAAAGACAGCCCTGGCATGAAGATACAAAACACAGTCCCTAGTACTTTGCTTCACAGTGTGCCCCAAAGCTACAGTATAAATACAGTTTGCACACTAGCCCTTAGCTTCATGGGGTTCTTGAAGGGTGGGAGGAGTTGCTTCAAAGCCCACAGTGTTCCCCTCCACTGATCTAAAGGGAGCATTAGAGCACCTGGAGGACAGCCCAACTCATCTTACTTACTCTGTCCTTTCTGTATCTCACTCACTTAACATCAACAGGAAAAAAAAGGCACCTCTTCCTTCCTCTCGAGAGTCAGGTAACTGAGAATCTCCCATCTCCAGCTTCCATGGTCAAAGTGGGCCAGTTCTCCAAGGAAGACAGGTCGCACCTTTTGTTTTGCTGCAAATTATCGCACTGAGCAGTTTTGTCACTAGGCTGCATCTCCTCAACAGCCACAGCACAGAGATAAGTACCTGGGACCTGGTTGTGCAGCGAAGCTGAGCCTCTGCCCTTTGGCTTTTACTCCAAGGAACCAGATGAGGCTACTGTGTGGAAAGAACACATCCTGAGGTGGGAATACCTGCTTCAACTACTTATTTCCCTAGCAGGGATGCCCTAGTCCAGCAACCATGGCAGAGAAGTGTGCTTGCTCCTGCATGCCTTTGGGATCTTGCTTTCAGCTGTGCAGCCCTTTCCTTCAGACAGCTCTCACAAGCCTTCTAGTTTATCAGTTTATCTGGTTCTCACTACGGCAACTGCCCAGCCCAGTTTAGGAAGCCATCAAACTGGAGAAATGAGAGAGGGGATATGAGCCTAAGGCCCCCAAGGTTATAAGAGTTTCATTGGGCACTGATGCCCAGGGTGAAGAAAGAGCCAGGGCAACCCTGTCTACCAGGTACACGCAGCAGCAGGCAATTGGGGCTCTATTTTGGCTGATGTGAGCAGAACTCTTCAGGCATTCAGACTCCCTTCTTGGTATTACCAAGGAACGCCTCCTCCTTGAGTTGCTGGGATTAGCTGCTCCATCCTGGCCAGCTCAAAGTGCACATGCATTGGGTGCGTTTTTCCACAAGCTCGTGCTAATCAGTATGAACACATTCGTAAAGAAGCATAATGTAATTCTGGGGGAAGAAAGGCCTTTCTTTTGCAGTATGTGTCATATGTTAATTTGGGTTTTAAAGGGAAGGAAAGTTTATCCAGATCATTCTTCAGACCTCACTCTGAAGCCAACCATAATCTGCAGAGTTTTGAGGAGTTCACAGATTTTAATAATGCTACATAGGAGCCCAGAAATCTGCTTCCCATGTAATCACCACCCTGCGTTGGTGTATTTGCAGAGCAGAAGGGTGAGCAGGATTATGCATTCTCATGAAACCCCTTCTGAATTATGCAGACCAAGGATTTTAAGGCGTTTTTATCTGTTTTGAGAAAATCAGGTAGGATTATTTCCTTGTTATAGATGGCAATGGGCAGAATTTTGCTGCTATCCATCTATACTTGTTTATGGTTTACCAAAAAAAAAGGCTAGGAGATCAGTTTTTCACAATGGATTCATCCACGAGACCATTTTTTTTCAAAGATTTTTTCAGAAGTTGCATTCTTTTGTTACAATTTTTGTTACAATAAATTCCCTTCCTTTTGAAACACAGTCAAGGTGGTGTGGGGAAGGGAGCAATGAGGAAGAAAACAAAGCCATCAAAACCATGACTGTTTTTTTCTTTAAACCATTACCTATACAGCAAAATTTTTCACACAAAGCTCAAATCTCAGCCTCAGTTCTGGTGAGCATGTCAGGATGAGACCCTGTTTCTGGCATATCTGGCTATCCTGAACCTCCCACCTGTATTGTATGAGGAATACTGGTAGTATCAGAAACACGGAATCAGGTTCTCCAAACTGACAGCTTTGCTATATGAAGTAATAAAATGTGAGGTTTTGCATCATTGGTGTAAAAATTAAAAATGAAGATAATTTAGTTTGGTTCCTAACATCTTTAAAGTTAAAAAAGTTGATGCTTGATAACACAGTTGCACAAAAACATCTGGACAATGACAAACAGAAAATAAGGGAATGCACACTACAGTGCTGTGCTGGAGAAGGCAGGATTCTGGAGCTGGACGTGTCTATTTGCGCCTGTATGCTCTATAAACACCGCATCTTCATCAGCAGCATTGTCATGCTACAGCAACGAATACTATGAACAAAACATGTTGTACCACATAATGCAGACAGAACCACAGTCCAGCCACGGGTGTCTCAGCAACACATGGGAGTGAGAGACAGATGGCAGAGAAGAGATGAAGGCAGACTGGGAACAGGATGTGCACAGGTCTGTGATGACATTGAGAATGGATGAGGAAGAGGACAAAGGTCAACCAAAAGGGATGTCAAAAATCCTTAATTTTAGAAGTTATATAAGTGTATTAGTATTAGCAGCACCACTTTCTCTGAAACTCTTGGCATTGAATTCGCACACTTTTGGCAGCAGGGAATGATCTGCTGGAAGGATACATATCAGTCCCAGAGGGTCAGGCATGAAAAACAGTCTGGGACAAATTTCTCCAGATTCAGCTAGTGTGTGTCCCTCCACCCCAGGGACCCAGGAAGAGAATTTAGCCTACAGAAATGAAAGCTTTCTGCTCTGGCTGGCAATGTTGGACTAATATTTTTAATTTAAATGATAAATAATTTTCTCTGCTTTCATCTGACCATCCTTTTACACTTAGCATGCACTCAGAGCAAAGCCAGGCTCAAGACTTTGATTTCCCAAGTGCTTATTCCAGAGACACTATCTAAAAACTGACAGAGAAGAAGGAAGGAAAAATAATCTGAGAAACGTTACAGAGAAGGTAATGGTCTAGAGAGGACACTTTCCAAAGCATGTCGCAGCATTTCTCCAAACCTCAATTTGCCACCAAGGCGTGAAGCCTTCCACGCTGCTGACTTGCCCAGGTTCACTATTTTCAGGACTGACTTCACTCATTTCACCGTCCGTCAAGTAAACTCTGCCTTGTCCAAAACTAGAAGAATTAACTAGCTTTGGGAATGAGGAATGGCAACCCCACCCTGACTTTTCCTAGAATCCAGAGGAAATCTGTGGATCCAGAATGGCAATGTTATAAAAGCTTTAATCTACTTCCTAAAACTTGCCTTCCCATTCTTGAAACATGGGCTCATTCCTGCGTTGTGCCTGCTGGCAACTTTTTAGATTGACACAAATTCCTGCCTTGCAGTTAAATACACAAAAACATATTAAATGAGGAAATGTATGGCAGTTGGATCATCCCAGTCACGCCACATACACCAGGCTGCTGCTTGAAACAAAGAAAAAAGTGCTGCTAAAAATACACGTGCATTTGTATAAGTTTACATTTAGATTTTGTGTTTTGCTTTGTTTGTTTTTTCAATCCAAATATCTATCTTGGTGCCAGCAAAAACAGCAGAACAGCTGATTTTTTAATCATCCCATTAAAGCCATAA